AACATCAACAGACGTGACATTAGGCTCGCTGCACACTTTCAGTTTCAACTGAACGGGCGAACTGTACGTATGTATTTTTTAACTCATAGTTAAAATTTTGCTAACACACTTCTGTTTTAACTGAACAGACGAACTGTAATTTTGAAAATGGATTTTTACATGTACAAAATTAATTAAAAATGCGGTAAAATATTGTAAGTAACTGATATTTATTTATTGATCTGTTCTAAATTTAAAAGCAATATAAAATAATGCAAACGATTTGCAAATTTTTCAGTAACTCATACAACAATAGATAAAGAAAATAATGTCCTGTAATGACTACAAATATTTCACATTTTTACCTTGCATTATTAAAAACCCTAACAGTGTTTAGAATTGGTCTTAATTGTGTCTGCATACTTATTATAATGATTTACTATCAAAGCCACACAAATATTTCACGTCAAAGTCCCACGATGGTTCAACAAACAGTGTAACGAATAATTCACAAGTTCAACCTTGATAAAACCGTGAACGCACGCACAGAAATATATTTGAATATCGAGTTTCCACTGTCCAAACACATGCACAAAAACATATCGTTGTTTCCGTTTTGTCAAAAAGATTGATAAGGATCACAATAATGTCCTCATACAGGTATTTCCGTATTGGATATTATCTCACCAGAAGCAAATCACTGAGATAAAAGATACTATCGTCCAATTGCTTTTAATTCGATTGATAAATTAGGTTGATGAAATTTTTCAGAAATATACGTAAATTTAAGTCTAAAAATAGCCGCAGTGGTAGAGTAATTAATACGTTTACTGCGGCAAGTTAAATTATAATTCTTCATTTGGTGCGTTGGCAGGACAAAATGCGCCCCCAATGATATTTCCGCCAGTTGCTGGCAGGTCTTTCTAGACCTACCAGCACTGGGATATATGAAATTGCTATAACTTTGTGGAAACATAATGTATAGATTTAATGTAATCAATGTATATACCTGATATAATCGTTCCGCACTAGCGAGAGGGACATTGTTTTCTTTGGCCGCACCAGCTAAAGTACAGCGTCAGGCCGATATCGGCCTGTTACACAGAGTGTGTTCACAAGTAATAGATTTGCATTGTATGTGTATGTTATGAGGATAAATCATTTGTAACGAGAAGAACTTTATTTATTAGTAGGGAGCTGCTCAAGTAGAGGTAGTCCTAGAAAGAGATGGATAGATTGCGTGAAAGGTGACATGATCAAGAAAGGGAAATGACAACTGAGATGACGGAAGATAGATTAACCTAGAGGATGAAAACCTGTTGCACTGACCCTACGGTTGTAGGATAAGGACTGGGGGATGATGATGATATATTTCTAATTTCATTAAAAACGTATGTTGACTTAGAAAAAAGGAATATATTTAAGATATAGAATTAGATATTTCGCAGTGCAACATTAAAAAATGTATTTAAAAAGATAAGGGGCGAAGTGAGACAATACAACGGGCTAATTTTGAAGTGAGTACTTCCTTCCTTTGTGTTGTATGTTTTTTAATATTCGTCGATAATGTCCAACATCTATCATTTCTTATCTTAATACAAAATGTTTATTTATCACTTATCTATACTATTATAATAAAGCGTAAATACACACTTCTTTGTTGCCTAAGATGTCAGCAATTACAACATATTTTTGAATATTTATTTCTTTAATAAAAAGCCGTACTTGCGTCACGCTTTAGGCTATATGTTTTAACGCCATTTAACTTAGGGGTAAATATTTTGGATAAAAACCCTAATGTGGGAAAGAGACCATAAGTTGCTGCCAACATCAAGGAAGCAAGGTTGTTTTCATGTCATGTCATTTTGACATTTGTAATTGATAATTTGACAAACTATATAAAATAAAGTTTTTTTAATTTCATGCGGGTGAAGCCGCACAGGAACAGCTAGTAATTTAGTAAATGAGAATGTGTAATGAGTATCGTGATTTTTTTTTCTTTTCTATTCCTTGAACAGAAACCAGTAGAAAAAAAGACGAAAAATGATTGTCACTTTTATTAAATAAAAAATATACAATTAAATTAAGCGAAAATTAAAAACGGCTCAACTTACACTTATTATCCTCCGGTGACGGCACCGACTAGTTTCAGACCCTTCGGGGGTCCTTCTTCAGGGTTAGTATTAATTAGAAGGATAATAAGCGTGAGTTGAGCCGTTTTTAATTTTCGCTTAAAGTAATGTCTCACGATAGTTTATACAATTTAACAATTAAATATTAGATATCTTTAAATGTGAAATTAAAGGGCCCTTTTACATAATTCAAGGCGCTCTGATACTGCTTTAAAGGTGCACCGAACCAATCAATTTGGAAATTTTCAACAACTCGAGCGACGAAAGTTTCCATCTCCAACTCAGCTATGCGACGACCTATAAATATGAAAAACACTTATTATCATATTCGATAGAAATTAAACAAAGAAACAAAATTATAACAGCAACTCGAAGTTTCTCCTATTGACTTAAAGCATGTCTTAACAATTGTTAAGCAGTCGAAACAAACAAATAAAAGATTTTATTTTTGTACCCTTTCGTATACCACTGGTCAGATTTCGATGAATCTTTGACAGTTGTTCCAAACACACCAACGAAAGTTACATATTAAAACATAATATAACTAATAAGAGACACATGGAAAACCATACCGATACAACTACGTGTTCCAAATCCAAAAGGCATGAATGCAAATGGGTGTGCGTTCCCGTGATACAATGGATCTTCTTTTTCTACCAACCATCGCTCCGGAATGTATTCGTTCGGTCTTGGATAGTGGCAATCCATCATCGAAGTAAATTGATTGGCGAAAGTCAAAAGTGACTGGAATAAGTTAAATCACACATTGCATGTTTTGTACTTATGTATTCGGGTTCTGTTTACATAAAACATTATCAGCCCACGACGCTAAACAAGTGATCGAGTAATCCAAGTGGGATTTAATGAGTAATTTTGTTTTATTTATACTTACATTCTTTGGTATGTGGTAACCAAGGAGGCTGTATTCCTTTGAAGACTGCCTCAAATTTCCAGATACTACCGGCATAATCCTCATCGCTTCCTTTATGCAAGCCTTCAAGTATGGCCTCTTTTCTGAACCTGACAATATCTCTTCCCTCAATTTATTTTGCTTCTCCGGGTTTTTTGCTAACAAGTAAAATGTTGGTATTACCGTATTGGCTGCCTGCAACAAATATGTGATTAAATTGTTGCAGTTAGTTTTGTAAGAGATAACTCTTATTTTATCGATTTTTTTGAATTGCTTCAAACTTACATTAACTTAATGAAATTATATTTAATTTATCAAAATAGGTTTCTTTTACAAGTTTATAATTACTTTGTTGGACGAGAAGCAACATTAAGTAGTGTTCCAATTAAACTCTGCGTACAAATAGAGAGAAAAACCGATGGCATTTAAAATACATCTTACCGTATCCACGCCAGCAAATAATAAATCACTGGCCATTAAATAAGCGTAATGCTCGTCTATCTCAAGTAATTTCTCTAAAATTCCTTTTTCGTTCTCTGATTCTTTATCCACCTTTTTAGTTTTTAGTACCTCAGTCCATTTCTGAATGAAGTATTTGTTTAAGCTAAAATTTTAAGGAAATGTAAAAACACAAAATTAAAAAGTTATGAATCACGATATGCCTAAATGTATTTGGACTTACTTTTCTTGATCTTCGTATAATTTCATGGCCCTCTTATAAGATTTGGTTGGATATACTCTCCATAGACTCGGTTTGAAATCTAATTTATCCGCTACGGCGAAAAAGTCATGTACAATTTGAATGAGCTTCCTTACGGGGGAGTCTGCGGGTAGATTGGGGTCGAAGCAATTGAGCCGACCGCCGAGCGCCACCACACCGATTGACTCCAAAGCCCACAAGTTCATTTCGGTACTTAAATCACCTTTCAATACATTGTTTTCATCGCGAATTAATCTCATTCTGTTAAAAATATGTTAAGAGTTACTTTTACGATAAATTTCTGTCCATAAATATTTATTATAAAAAGTACGAGTTAAATAAAACTGGATTCAAATTCTAGTGATCGAACCTATTCTATGTCTTTTGAAATAATTCGTATTCCCAAATCCAAAGTTTAGCAATACATTAAAGAAACTTTTACCTTCTTTACTAAACTATAATCCGACAGTCATTATTAGCATGAAAACATGTTCATCTATCTGTCACTGTTTTGTATATGATCTCGGATCGGACAAAAACCAAGTTTTATTGTGATGTGTTTATAATTCCAGTTCTACTGTTTACTTATGTGTTACTTAACTCACCTTTTTATCATATCTTTAGCCACGTCATCTAATATACGTGAGTACAGCTTTATAGTCTTAGGTTGGAGTAAAACCGGATTTACTGTGGATCGCAGGGTCTTCCATTTTTCGCCATGACTGTAAACGAAAATTAGAAAAATTGCTTGCTATTTTCTAACTTTAAGAAATCATTTTAGTGTATCAGAATTTAAATAAATTGGTTCCATTTTTAATTCAGAATAATAAGTTTGGAATAAAGACATTTAAAAAATATAGACGAGACATAATAAAAAAAAATTCACAGATACTTTCTCTCAAAGGTACGATTTTTGATTATATTGAAATGTAGCTTTCAATAAATATGTGACTACGCCACCTCTTAATATTTTAAATCTCTTTTGCCAGAAACCATAGAAAAATACGCACTCTGTGACTAGACCCGTCACCTCATGTGTTACTTTGCCAGTCTTTTTCTTGTATTCTTTTCTGTAATGTTCTAATGACTGAAATCCTGGTCGCTTTGGCGTCAAATTTTCACTTCGTAAAATCTAAAATTGGGTAACTTAGTAAATTATTGTTTCTGACTGTAATGTTTAAATCAATAACCTTATCATTAACTTACATAAGCCATGCTCTCGGCGTCAAATAAAATTACTATATCTGGTGATCCAAACAGTCCGGAAAGTCTAACTATTGGTCCATAGGCTTTGTACAACCTTTCCAATAATTCGAACCCATCAATGTTATACAACGAACCTGAATTACACAATAAGAAAAATAGTATTAATTTGAAAGTGGCAGTTCAAGATTTTAAAGCAATTTATAGTGTTATTAAATATGTAAAAACCTGACTTGTTTTATTTACTGTCGCAAAATACAGTGCTATAACCCGTATGTCCATCCGCGCGAAATAAAAGAATTAATCATTTAAAAAGTATGGCTATTCAGGTCATATTAAATCAAAATAAAGTCATTGATTACAATCAATTCCTATTGGAAATTTAATATGTCTTCAGCAGTTGTAGAGTTACGAAAATAAAATCTATCCATCCAAACTTAAGTATTTATTATTTTAGATATGATGTACGAGTATATAACGTATTAAGCGAGAAACATCAAGCAGCATCCAATCACATTACACGAGTTTCAAATCCCTTTTCTATTAAGAAGAGGATGGGAAGAGGAAGTGGATTTGACGGTGGAGGAGATGCATAGGAAGGGGAAATATCCACTTTATGTGCGTCTCCTCCGTCGGATAAGGGTAGGCAACGCATCTGCAATTGCGGATGTCTATGAGCAGCGATTGCTTCGCCATTTTGGCGGATTCAGGTGGCCGCTTGCTCGTTTGCCACTTTATGTTATAAAAAAAAAATACATTATATAATTCTCATTTATAATATTAGTACGATATATCATATAATCTTACCCATAGGGAGGAAATGATGTAAAGATGATATGATTGGCAACTTGGTGGGGCCGGGAATTTCGTCCCATGACTTCAGCGGCTGCGTTGATTCGGTGGTGTTGGGTATTATATTGTTCACAGACGTGACGTACCTGCAAAAACTGTTATTTACATATATGTGTATTTTTATCGCTTTCATATTTACAATAAAACAAAAATATTTCCAGTACCTAATTTATTATCGGTCTGTTATAAATATTGAAACAATATAAGATAATCGTCTGCTATTATTTATATTAACTAACACTCCAAAGATAACGGAAATCATGTCTTATAAGTACCTAATGCTAATATTCCATATTCTTACCTTGCATTATTAAAAACACGAACCGTGTTTAGAACCGGTTTTAATTTAGATGTCTTCATCGTTATTGTACTGATTTACTATCAAAACTACACCACAATGTTTGTAAAAAAATGTTGAAAACACTGATATCGATACAATATTATATCAAAACATAGTCATAGATAACTTTGTTTTTTTTTTCTTGTAATTACACGTCAAATAGATACGATGGTTCAACAAACAGTGTAACGAGTGTTTGATGAGTTCGACCTTGATACAGCCGTGAACGCACACACAGAAATAGATTGGAATAGTGAGTTTCCACTGCCGAACTACAAGTATAAAAACATCATGATATCTCTGTTTTCTTCGAAGAGATTGATAAGGATGAGAATAGTTTTCACATAGGTGCCTCTGCATTGGAAGTAATCTCGATAACAGAAACAAAACAATCCGATATAGATAGTGTTGTTCAATCATAACTTTAAATTCCTTTGATTGTTTATAACGATCATATTTTAGAACGTATACGACGATGCGGCGTTATTTCCCTATAGTAATGAAATACATGTTATTGTAGAAAAACATAAATAATACCTGTGATCCAATTCGTCATATACACTACTACTTGCAAAATTTCGCAACGGAAACATTTTTATAGTTAATCCAAAATCTGTGTTTTTTTATATCGACACACTTATGATCGTTGTGCGTTTCTTTGGTAAATAACACTGATGTTATATCAGAAATCAAATTTTAAAATGTATAGCAATACATTATCAACAATTAAAACCCCAAAATGTATTTATTAAAATATCAACAAAAATAAAATATCATATAATAAAATAATTCAGCACTACATTTATCAGAATTATTAATACAAGTATCATCCATTGATAATGTTTTCAAAGACCATTCGATTATAATGAAAGTGCTTGTAAATTCGATATACATACATGTGTGGGAACTAATGTTCAATAGTTAATCAAAATTAAACATCTTTGAAAATAAAACTAAACGGGCCTTTGACATAATTCAAAGTACTATGATGCAGCTTCATGGGTTCACCAAACCATTGGATGTCGAAATTCTGTACAACACGAGCGACTATTGACTCTATCTCCAACTCCGCAATGCGACGTCCTGGAAAATTAAGAAAACAATTTAATAACTGTGCTTTATAACATCAAATATATGGAAACATTTTCAATCGAATTTCGAAAATTGAAGAAGTTTGTATATTTCAGTTAGCGATCAAATTTTCACAACGCACCAATACAACTCCGAGAGCCAAATCCGAACGGGCTAAATGCAAACGGATGAGCATTTCCATAATATAACGGATCTTCCTTATCCGCCAACCAACGCTCAGGAATGTATTCATTCGGTCTTGGATAGTGACAGTCCATCTTGGATGTATACTCATGAGCAAAGAGTATTTTTTTCTGTAAGATTAATAAAAATATTCTTATAGCTTCATTTGAATCGCCAATAACAAGATGTAATATGCATTAAATTGTTATGGTTTTTGGCTAATAAAATAATTTCACTTAACTTGTGTTGTCATGTTCCATGTTTAACCTATTTTTATTATAAAATCAAGCATAACCTCCCTGAACTACCTTTACCTGTTTTGGTATATGATAACCAAGTATATTGTACTCCTTGGTCGTCTCCCTAACATTTCCTGAGGCCACCGGCATAATTCTCATCCCCTCTTTTACACAAGCCTTCAAGTATGACTGCTTCTCTGACCCTGACAACAACTCTTCTCTCAATTTCCTTTGCTTTTGTGGATTCTTTGCCAGTAAGTACAATATTGATACTACTGAATTTGACGTCTGTAACAAGTTGAATTATTCAACTACGAAATAATTAACTAGTTTTTACTTCTTTGAATCAATCGTGTGTGTAGTCGATATTATGTTCTCAATATTATTCTCCTAATCTCAAAGTTGTTCCTAATTCCTTCACCTGACTTTCAGGATTGCGAGACTCAAAATAATTTACGAACATTTATAAATTAGTCATCACAAAACTTTTCTTTATCGTTAGTTATTATATTAATCATAATTGAAGCTAAAGATATGAAAATACGTATCTTACCGTATCAGCTCCGGCAAACAACATATCACTAGCCATTAAATGTGCAAAGTGTTCGTTGATTTCAAGTAACTTCTCCAATATTCCTTTCTCCTTGTCAGTCTTTCTTTCTTTTTCTAACCTTTTTATTGCTTCTTGGATAAAATACTTATTCAAACTAAAATTAATATTTCACAAAATTATTAATGTTAACGCTCTAAATAAAACTGTGTGTCTAAAAATGTGTTATTGTATGAATTTGCTTTAAGACTCAAATTATTGTGACTTACTCTTCTAACTCCTGAAACATTTTCATAGCTTTCTTGTAAAATGGCGTAGCATACCATCTCCAAAGATTTGGACTGACATCTAATTTATCCACCGTAGCAAAGCAGTCGTGAGCATTCTGAATTAGTTTTTTCACAGGAGAATCTGCTGGTAGATTGGGATCAAAGCAATTGAGGCGGCTGCCAAGAGCCACCACCGCAATCGACTCCATAGACCACAGTTTCATTTCTTCGCTAAAATCACTACTTAATATGCCTCTTTCATCTCGAATTGATCTTATTCTGCGAAACACTCCAAATATTATAAATAAGAAGACATGGACGAAGAAGAGGTGAAATTAAATGAAAGACGCTTTGTAAAAACGTTAACTTCGATACTACATTTCTCTTTATAAAATCCTTAGTCGATGTAATTTCTTGCTATCAAAATTCTAGAATTACTGTAGTACTGTAGTACTGTGTAATTAATACATGTTTTATAAAAAGAAAACTGAAGACATGGTCACACTGTAACTGTGAGTAACTAACGTAACTCTTGTATGGACATATTTGGTCTACGTTTTTTGACGATATGTAGTACTACAATTATCAGTGCAGTGTAGTACTGCGGTTATAAACAACTGCCAAAAACTAACTGAACATAGTTAACAACCATTAAGAAATGTTTCGACAAATACCTTACAACAATGAACAAAAACGTATCGCCACAATATTTCAACTCACCTTTCTACCATATCTCGGGCTACTTCATCTATTGTGTCTGCGTACATCTTTATTGTCTTAGGTTGATTCATTATAGGATTGACAGTTGAACGCAACGTCTTCCATTGCTCTCCGTGACTTTAAACAAAAATAAATATCACATATATTGTGCATATGTACCATGCATTAATAACTTAATTAAAAAAAATTAACAACAAAAATCGTGGGATTAGCTGTTCTTATTCAGATAAAAATAAGTTTATAAAACAATCAATATAAGTTATTAAAAAAATCGTAACTACATAAGAAGCAGGAACTTTAAAACTTACTCTGATCCTAATCCTGTGATTTCGTGCGTTATTTCTCCATTATTTTTCTTATATATCTTCCTAAAGTGCTCTAGGGATTCGAAACCAGGTCGCTTCGGCAAGAAATTCTCATTTCGAAGAACCTAATATCATTTCTATATGTTATTAAAATTATTTGGAGTAAAATTTAAAGTAAACATTTATCGCATAATATCCTGAGAAGGTTAACCATTGCCCGATAGCTCAGTGGTTCCGTTTTAAAGAAAGATTTATGGGATGGGACTCTCTTGTTAAGGCAACACGCCGACCACATTGTTGTGAATATTTTGATATCCTTCTTATAGTCTACCTTGACATGTAAGACTAAATATTATTTTGTGTGTAATATTGTTATCTATTATTGTAAAATTTAAGATCAATAAATTACATTGGCAACACTTTCGGCGTCAAACAATATAACATTTGTTTGCGATCCAAATAGACCGGGTAGTTTTACGATGGGCCCATATGTCTTGTACAGCTTGTCCATTAGCTCATATCCGCTTAATTTATGCAGAAAACCTATGACAAGAACATTATTGAATAAATCCTCTGCACGAATTCTTTAAAAGGTAACATTGTTTTTACATTCCATTATTGAAACATTTTTGAACTTTCACGGCTTTAAAACATACGTAAGCTTACCTCCGGGGAGAAAGTGGTGTAATGATGATAATATTGGCAGTGTCGACGGGCCAGGAATTTCGTCCCATGATTTCAGCGTTCGAGTTCCTTTAGTTACCTCAGCAGTAACATTTACAGTTGATATAAACCTAGAAAATACGAAATAAGAACTGAATAAATTACTCATCTCACGATGTCAATGGATATTACATACATTCCCAGTCAATCGGCTGCAAATTCAAAACTTACTGTAATTGAAATGCATAATAAAAATAAATTGCTTCAAATTTAAAAAGGTGTATAAAATATGATGAATTATATATTGAAAGCGAAAAAAGTGGAAGAACTTACTTTACATTTTTAAAAACATTGTCAGTTAATTTTAAAAACGGTTTTAAGATTCCTGTTTTCGTTGTTTTCATAATTTTATCAAAATATTTTCACTTGTTTATGAAATAACTACCTGTATATTATAACAAAAAGTCTGTTAAGCAGGCTGCTATAAAAGTATATTTCGGATCCCCGCGACACAAAGAGTATGCAACCTAAACAATAACACTACAAGTCAAAAGATTGTTCATTTTCAATAATTGAAAAAATATATATTATCAGAACTGTATATATGTCACAATGATATACTTAAAGCCAGCTACACATCTTCAGTTTTTATGTTACCTTAATTTAGATTGTAGAGCGGTGGCTCAGGGTTTTAAGCACTTGACTTCCAATCAACGGGTCCAGGGTACGAATCTCACCATGTACCAATATGATTTTCGAGTTTTGTATGTACATAATTTACCCGACGTTCTTAAGGAAAAAAAATATCGTGAATCAATTCAACTTACCCTCACTAGGCCATCGTGGTACACTATGACCGAGGAAACTAAAGGTAGGCTTCGAGCTCCTCAGTGGGGGCATACAGTGAGCTGATGAAGATGATTGTGATTGCACTGTCAGGCTGTTCAGTTAAAGGATATCTCTACAAGCAAATAATAACTGTACCGTTCTGTTTTCCTATACCGGCTTCCGATACAAACTTTTGATCATAAACTTTATTCGAAATATCCAGGTACTTTAACTATGTTGTTAAAACTGAAGGTGTATAGCAGGCTTAATGTGTCTCCGAGCTGTAATACCAGTATTTGATAACTTATGTAGTCCTCGTTACACTTAACGTACACAAAAAATGAAAGTAGGACTGTATAATCACAACATTATAAAAGAAAAAATCTACAAGTAAGAGTTAATTAAAAAAAACTTAAGTCTGTATGTGTCAAATTTATCGAGATCTATTCAGCCGTTTAAGAGATACCTTTTAACAACGTCCCTCCATCAACATTTACGCATCGTTATTATTTTTAACACTTAAAAATATTATTAGATTTTTGTTAATTTACTAATATGTATATCCTTTAACTATTCCAACTTAGCTCTAGACTTGTGCTAGGATATGGTTCACGACAATAGTCGAATGGCGAGATTCGAACCCTTGACCGCAAGATCGGTAGTCCGTACCTCGAACCATTAGGCTATTGGCGCTTATTAGTATTTAACATTATCTTACATTACACGTGGTAATGCAACAGCGCAGTAATTTTCCACATGTAATCAAACTAATTAATACTCATCGTTACACTATGTTTTTTTTTATAATATAAGGTGGCAAACGAGCAAGCGGCCACCTGAATCCACCGAAATGGAAAGCGACCGCTGCCCGCGCCGCAATTGCAGATGCGTTTCCTACCCTTAATTGATGTAGGAGAAGACGCACATAAAGAGGACATTTCCCCTTTCTATGCACCCCCTCCATTGTTCAATCCACTTTTTCTTCTCATCCTTTCCTCTTAAGAAAATGGTGAAAAAGGAAACGGACTAAAATTCCGCCTTCAGCGCCACACTCATCAAACGAAACGCGGAATTGCTTCAACTTCACGCCTGTTTTCTGTGTGGTAGTGGTATTACACCGGACGAGCCGGCCCATTTGTGCGAAGATGTTAAAGCGGGCTCTACCACTGTAAAAATGTTTGTCAATTGTTTTGCAAAAGTTGACAAAACCGTATGTCATATTTATATCGCATTAGAAATAGAGCCTACGCCTACTCCAAATAGCTTTGATCAGATCATTTATGTTAATAAGATTAATAGGCAAATAAGAAAAAATCAAATTTTAAAATTCATACAAGCTTATTGTTTAAGCAGACCAGATATAAAATGATCCAACAAAGAAAAATGTTTCCCCTTTGGAAAGTAAATCAGACGCAATAATCGTATAGCTGGCGGTGAGCGTAATTTGGCCCTTGTCCTGTAAGTTACGTGCCTCAGTAGTTCTCTGACGTGACATAAATTTAAAGATACCCAAAGGAGCCGGTCGACTGTGAAATCTTTAGAACCGTTCCCTATCTTAGCGGACTTTTTGTAGAGCTTTCGTAAATCTCGTGATTAGGAAAAGTTGTATTTCTTCTGTATCCGAAATATTTCAAAATCGACTTATCCTTTTGTTTGAATTCCTTGTAGTACGTAAAGACGTTTCTTTTGTTACTTCGATGCAATGTGTTATTTACATTAAAAACAGTTTGTCGTAAAATAGTTCTTTTTATTTAAAGTTTGTAGCTGAATAGTGTCAATAATAACTCTTTAGAGTGACAATCAAATTCTTGTATATTTATAATATTAAATTGAATGAAAACCCTTAAATAATATTTCTAATATAAATACGTAGCATTATAAATAGAGCCACACCTACACGATCCCTCTTGTTTTCATTGAATATGTTTTCGCAAAGTCTCTATAGAGTTGCCCGTTAGCAGTAAATAACTCTGGTATCAAAATACTCGCGCCTTTAATCAGAGGTCATTTTGGCTGCGGCTGCTTCACAAAAACAAATTTTAACGTTGGCAACCCTGGGGTAATGATGTAATAATTAACAAATGTAAACCCATTTACGTAACCGATAATTTTCAAAAATCTACCTCTGATGAAATTGTCCCAACTAAGTTATCAAGAAAGATATACAAGCACTTGAGCACTACACTTTGACCCTGACTTACTGATAAGAGAAATAATTCTACTAATAGTAATGATCAAAAATATTTTTAATGTGAAGTTAGCTGCCGAAATACTCCGCATAAAATATTCATAGTGAGATGGGTATATGCACAAACAATGTAAGTACAAGAGAGATAACGAATACATCCCGCTTTTGTCTTGTCTGTTTTGCACTAACTTCGTATACATTAGAATTTGGGACTAGTTTTATACAATAAATAATCGAAACTCAGTATTTCATAAACTATACATTTGTGAATACATTTTTTGTTGAAAAAAATGGAAGGTAAGGAAATTCTGCTTTGTATGTAATATGTTACTGGAGCTAATATTATAGAATAACATTTTTTATTGATGACCAATTTACTTTGACTTTGTTAATTTTAGAAATTAAAAATGTCACGCATGCTAATGGAACGGTAAATGTGCACTTTGGTAGTCAGTCGATAGAATTCGAGAGTATTTGGCTGAGAGATAATTGCAGGTAAATTGGATAACAACATATTTTTTTGTTTAAATTGAACATTGAAAAATTATAATTACCACACAATAGATCAGACCTATCACTAAACCAGCGGTTGAGATGTTCCGAATCCAAAGTATTGAACGCAAACATGTTTCCTGAATAGCACATAAAACAATAGATTTAATTTTATTACCATATTTATGACAATAAACTGCATAGGTGGGGTATTTAAGAGAATACAAATGTTTAATCCATCTAGCCAAAGAAAAATTAACAAGAGAATTCGCCATCCGGCGGTAAAGCTTCACTTAACTCGAAGGTGACAAGACAGGTATCTGGCAAATCGTTTTTAAACCATAATCCTCTTTTGTATTAATTTTAGGTGTTCAAAATGCTATCGTTCTGATACATTGCAAAGAGTATGGCACATATTAGAAATACCAGATTCAAACATTGTTGGCCTAACATTTGATAAGGATCACGTTTATGTCACTTGTCGGTAACTTAGTATATTTTAATACTTAGCTGTGAAATAATGATTGAAATCGTTTATACACACAGCAATATTTTTTAATTAACTGATACTGTTTACAGGGGATGATGACCACGAGTCTATTTATCAAGCTGATTTCTTAATATATTTCGATTACAAAACCTGGACGAAAAAACTCAGACGTCAGCCCATGTTATGGCATGGAGAAAAAGTTTCCGAGAACATAGCAAAAGTTTCTTGCGATGATTTTCTAAACACTAAGGATGGCGCAACCGCAGTATTTAAGTCTATACTGGATTATGGGGTTGCACTAATTGAAAATGTAAGTTTTTTGAGATTCTGCATCAACTTTCCCGTCAATCCCGGTCAAAATCGTTTCAGCAGGATATAACGGTCTCCCTCGATTTTGTCATTTCACACAATATTCACAAACATGTAAAAGTTTGAAATATCCATTTTGTAAACGGGGATAAAATATTCAATCGAAATTGAATTAAATTCAATCAACAAATTAAATAACCACATTGCGGCCAGGCAGTTTCAAAGAATTTTCAAAATGTTCAGCCAATAAACATTAATTTATTTCTGACAGAACGGAGCGAAATAATTATAACGTACGTAATTGCGGTCGGCAGGCTTCAATTATCGACATAATTGAATAACAAATGCTCGGGGAATTCGCGTAAATTTTTTTTGAATCGGTTTTTTTTCATACACTTTTTCGTCTGTTGTTCTCTCTTAACAACTTAACTATGTTAAAATAGTCATTCACTTGTTTTCTGCGATTATTAAATGGCAATGTTTAATTTAAGCAACAAAAATAGCCAAATAAAATACATTAATCTGTCATAAACCAAAAAAATGGCCGGTTGTGTTGCTATACATAAATTCTCGTTTCAAAGCCAGAGAAAACTTTATTGGCAATTGCAATTGACGTTAGAATTTCCGATGCTGTCGATATCGATAAGCCGCAACGTCCTATAAGTTTTTAATTAAACTTGTATCCGCTAGCCGCAACAGAAATGAACTCTTTTGATACTTTGTTATTCTAAGTTTGGATTTCCACTGCAGAAACAAACTGAAAAAACATGTCTCAGCTTCTTTAAGGGTGAGAAGGTCATGTTCTTTTTTGTAAAAATGTATCAATCGATTATACGTCTGCTTTAAAATACTAATTATTATCAATTCCTCAGGTCGAAACAACAATGGAGGCCACTGAAGTTATATGCAAAGCATTAGGAGGCGTACAACATACAATGTTTGGAGGGATGTGGCTTGTTCACAATAAATTTGAACACGCGGACACCGCCTATACTAACATACCATTAGCGGCTCATACTGATAATACTTATTTCACTGAAGCAGCTGGGTAAGGATATAAAAATAAAGAATATATTAATATACTGCGCGGTTCATACTTGGCCAGTACAGTTGGACAGTTGGGACAGCAACCGACAATCATTGGCATCTGTTAGCGTTTCCACACTGCTAGTTAATTGACGGTCCAATCAGATCGCTATTGACCAACTGTAATGGCAAAGTGTTAACCGCGCATAGTACAAATATTAAAAATAATCTTGACGAATGTAATATTTAATTTGCCATTTTATTATTAGACTACAGATTTTTCAAGGACTAGAGCACACTAATGGCAGCGGTGGAGAAACTATTTTAGTCGATGGTTTTTACGGTGCTAAACGTTTGAAAGAAGAATATCCAGAGGATTACGAATTTCTCACGACATTTGAAGTTGACGCTGAGTATTTGGAAGACGGCCATCACCATAGATATTCTGCACCAGTTATTATCCTTGACAAAAACAAAGATGTTATACAAATAAGGTAAGGTAAAATATTATTAAACCCCATTCTCTTCTAATAATTGTTGCGTTCGGGACCTAAGCTGGTCTTCCTGTCTCAAGTTTATTCGTTTAAAATTAATTGAATAGAGAATTGTCTAGATGTGAGTAAATTATTTTCTATGTTTTTAGGTTTAACGTATACGACCGTACTCCAATGGCGTTCTCTAGTCGTGAAGAATGTAAAGCGTATTACAGAGCACTGAAAAACTTGTCGAAATATTACGAAAATCCCTCTAACCAATGGAAGATAAAACTTACTCCAGGTAAAGATATATTATGTCTGTGTACAAATTCTGAATATATATAGCTTACTCGAATTCTGAGTTTCTATCGAAGCTTGCGATGAGATTTTATAATCATCTCTTAATTTCTCATGACATCAGTATATACTACAATGTTTTCAAATCCCACAGGTGTTGTGATTGCAATTGACAACTTCCGAGTACTGCATGGAAGAACCAGCTTTACTGGAAACAGAGTGCTTTGTGGTAGTTACGTGGCGCGGTCAGATTGGTTGGACAAGGCGCGAACATTACAACTCATCGAGTAGTTCAAATAAATAAAAATTGTTCGTTTTTATTTCCTTTTCATCGTATTAAAAGGCAGATAGTTCTCTATAATTATTTTTTCTCATCCAAGACCAAACATTTGTATAGAACATCAAGAGCAAAAAGAATTTATCCACGGACATCTGGACGGAATTAACACAAAAATAGTAAGCCCTTTTGAAAGAACCTAAGTTGTCCTGCATTGTCCACTCCTCTAAATGTGGGGGAAAATAAAGTGTTATAAGTTGGCAAACCTGGTTGCGTTTCAAACATAGATATAGACAAGTGCTCTTTGGCTTGGATTAATAACATTAAGTGTCATGTCACTGTCACATTCTGATAACTGTCAACTGTCATAGAAATGTCAACAGTCATAACCTGTATATTTTTAAAACAACATTATAAAAGTTTAGGTTAATTAAACGATACAAACGATTCAGGGAACCAATAACTTCTTTACGGTTCTTTTAAATCTATTTGAACTCATTGTTAGCAAGTTCAAGTGAATCTTTTTAATGTTTTTTTGTGTCCAATAAATTATAGTTTTCTCACATCTTCGCTAACGAAATGAAAATCTCTGAGGTAAATTAAAATTCATTCGTAATATGGTATTAATATGAGAACATTTCGCTGAAACGCTAAACGAAAACCAGTTTACTTTTATAAAATATGTCTTAATAGTTCTTTGTTTTGATTTATATAACAATTATTACAGCTTCCAGGTGATGAGGAGTCCGGTTTGACATGTCGCACATATGTATTCCAAGATGAAAGTCACACATTAGGCAATTCATTAAAATGTATAATTAATAGATAGTAAGTATGTCATTACTTCGAAAATATATAGTTTATAATGTATCTCCTAGCAGTTGTAATTTCATTTTGAAACTATGGCTCTTTCTAATATTACAGCAATAAATATTTTCTTTAGAACATAAATGTTAATTTCTCCCATTCAAACCACATTCTTTAATCAATTTAACTATGTTTTTTAGTGACGATGTTGACTTCTGTGGATACACAGTACCACATCCTGCAGAATCAAAAATGCACTTCAGAATACAGACTAAAGAAACACCTGCCCTCGAGGTCTTAAAAAGAGGCCTCAAAGATTTGCAAAAAGTTTGTGATCACACAATAGATCTGTTTGAAAGAGAAGTAAAAGAATTTAATAAAATCTAGCATTTTTTGTTTAATTTTTATTGATTGTATTCAGATCCCTTAAAAAATTTTATACAGCAATTTAATCCTCTTGTCAAATTATATTAATATGATGAAACATTACTTTTTTGGGACTTGTCTTAGACTTTGGACTTAGTGTGGTGGCACAAATGGTTAGGGATCATTTTATATCTGAATTTGTTACCCTTAAAACTTGTCATTAAAAAGATATATGTAGAAGCGAACGATAGGGCAGTTATAAGTAGCTGACCCCCCTTAAAAAGGATCTGACAAATATACAGGGGGCGTTAGTGTGCTCATATTGATTTTTATTTGGGGTATATTATTGTGATTGCGTCGCTCTACTAGGAATTGTGGACTTTAAGCATGAATTATCATCATCTAACCCGAAGAAATAATAGAGAGCAGCCGTAATATTTGATATAAGCCGGTTTTGAGATATTACTCCGTTTATCACGTTATTGGCGGCAATACAAAGTTTTATCATCGAAAGTTTTTCATTGACTATGCTTTCTCTCATTTTTATAACATTATTTAAAAAAAACGAAATTGAAAAAACAAAAATTATAAAGTGACTAAAGAAATCGGAAGACATGAAATCGATATTCTTCAAATCGAGAATCGAGTCGACTCAAACCAACGCTTGCTGACAACTTGGTGAAGTTGACGAATTTTCGGCCATTTTGTAAGTGACCGTCCTACTGTCTGCACAGTTCTACGTAAGTAAACTTATTTCTTGTATTATGTTTAGTATTTCAATTCAATTTAAACTGATTTTATACAGTTCCTCTTTAATTCAAATGTAGTTTTTATTTTTATCGTAATTTAAAATTGTTACAAACTAACCTTAACAAACAACACGTGGTCGTGGTTTTTATGATGATACTCTACTTAAATTCATTCGTGGTATCTACTATAGTGTTTTAACACTGTGATAGCCTTTAACGCGTCTGATTGACAAATTAAGTAAATGTCTAACAATTAAAGTGGACCAAACCACTAAATAGAAAAATTTTTTTTAGAATGGCGGACGCAGCTCC